CCACCTTCCAGCCCCCAAAGCATTACCTGACAGATTTATTAATTTTTTCATAAACTTCACTTAGCATGAGAACACCTGCCTCCAAACAAAGCTGTGAAACACTGACGTCAGTCGTGTACTTTACTGACAACGCAACAGAGAAGAATCACAAGACTTGTTTTATAGACGAGGAGAGTTGGCAGCGATGCGTCGTAACATAACAGCGTCTTATTACAGGTGGAGTGAATCATCAAATACCTACAAAATATTAACTTTCACATTTCAGACATGAATCTTAAATTCATGTCTCAAATACCTCAAAGCACCCATGTTCACATGTTTTATGATTTTGTGCAGTACATTGAACAATTAATTACACATCCTGCCTCAGTCTTATCTGACAGGGAGAAGTTTCTCTGGTTGTTTTTGTTGGGTGGGAGAAAGGAGGCATGGGTGGCCTCAGAAAGGTGTCAGAGTTATATTATTATTTAATCCCAGATAAAGCAACTCTGACATCAGACTGACGGAGAAGCTTTTTGTCTTTGTGTAATATTAATTTTGCTGCATGTATGAAAAAATGTGCAGCTTTAACATGTACAACATTGTTCAGTGTGGTTCCATTCCTGTATCCAGACGTGCACTTATTTAAAGGAATAAATGGATATCTGTAGAAGAATCCGTCACATCAAGACAAAGCGCGGTAATGGAGGTTAATATAATGATGAACGCCGATGATAAACATTCCCTCGAAATGAAAGAAAATATTCCACGACTGACAAATCATTTTGCATCAACGTTTAATAACTCACACAGGGATTAAAATACACGCTGGAAAAAGAAAGAGATACCGACTTCCTCGGCCAAAGGCGGCCTCCGTAGACGGTTGTGTAATGCAGCCATAAGATATGTTTTACGATATTGTGTCCCGACAGAAAATTGTTGCTCTCTTGCCATTACAAACATGATAGCTTGTGTTGGTGCTCTCTGCACCTACACATTTAACCAGCAGCTAAATGAATCAAGTCGAGGCAAGCGAAAAAGGATGTCGAAAACTGTTCCGGGAAGTACAAGTTGTAAATTAAGTTAGAAGCAGACAGATGGGGAACATAGATATATTTAAATTTAAAAAAACAAGTTGTAAAGAATTCTTCCCTCTGGTTCCAAATGTACCAGAAGATTTTTTATTTTTTGTCTGAACTTTGTGGTACTTTTGTTAAGCTGGTTAAAAGAGTCCAAACTTAGTTCATGATTAAGTTCGGTAGTTTATCATGTAATAATCGGTCATTATTTCATTCATGCAGTCTTTATTCATACGTTGAATGAATGAGGCGATAAGTCTTCCTGTCCGTGACTCAGTGCTTTGACGGGGTCGCTGTGAGACATGGCTTTCACTCACACGCTATTTTTAACTCGTGTGCTGCGCTGCTGGCTTTCGGCTAGTGATGTCTGATCTGAAAGTGTCCAAACTTTTATAGTTACAAACAATCATGAGAGGATATGAAGTGAAGTGGTAATTTAAAAAAAAAGAAGAAGCAGAAATGAGGAGCAAAGTTTTACTCGTGATGCACTTATTTGATTATTGATTTGTCGTAGCATCCCCCCCACCTCCAAAGATTCATGTTTGAAAATCTTCCAGTGAGACCAATAGGTGGCAGAAGTTGCCAACGAGATCCAACGAGACGTGACGTACGTTCCACCGTTTCCAGGCAAAGGTGAGAGAAACTTCCTAGTCAATCTCTCAAGTGCCACTTTGTCTGATAGCTTTCCACTCCAGCGAGAGGTGTGAGTAGAAAGAGTGGGGGAGGAAAGAAGGAAGGAAGGAAGGAAGGGAGGGAAGGAGGGAGGGAGGGAGGGAGAGCACAAGGGAATGGAGGTAAATGCCACCACGAGCACTTCGTGATGTTTAAGCCTCACAGTTTGTCACTTCTTGGCAATTATCTTACCGTGAGCAACAATAGCACAACAACAATTCACAAGACTGCAGAGCACATCACCTCACCAGATGGAGGAGGATAATTTTAACCAGAGAACGTGCATCCTCTGAAAGCAAGTGAAACGTATGCAATGTGATAGCGGTGGTGTGTGTGTGTGGTGACGACAAGTTCAGTTAGCATGTGGAGCAAACGTTTAGAGTCAGGTAATGGGAAGCATGTTGTGGAAAGAAAACAGTCATCAGAGGAGCTGCAGCGTGATCTAAGTGTGAGAGCAGCAAACAAGTGTTTTCATATCAGCTGCAATGAATTTGAAATTACAATAACTGTGGTTTGTTTGACTTGTTGAGGCAGAAACGCTTCAGCACCTTGGCCTCCCGTCGGCTTGAAAGTCGGTTAGAAATGATCAGCAGCCGTCGCAGGTTCAATCACTTATGACAAGAGAGGAGGTAAATCTTCCAGCGGTTAAGGAGTGTGACTAACATCGCAGATACAACAAGAACATCATGGTTTGTGTGGTTTCACATACCTAGACTGTGGCAGCGCTGAAGAAATGTCTGACTGCGCCCATTACCATCCCACTAAAGAGATAAATAAATGCTCCGGCTTGTTTGTGTTTGTTTAAAGGCGCCGAGCCCGGGATGCAGCAGTGGTGCCCCTGCAAAATAGAGAGCAAGGAACTGTCTTGGTGGAATATTTGGAAAGAACCAATCAAACAGGCTTCATTGCACCGTCCAAAACTTGACATTTTCAGCTTGTAAGAGGTTGTTGAAAACCCAGATAGTGGAAGGGGAGGAGAAAGCTGTGAGACATACCTGCAGTCATTCCTGACCTTGAGAAAGTTTGGGTTTTTTGTCAGTGGGAGGAAGAGTGATAAGATTTGTCATAAATATAAGAAATTAAAAGTTTTCAAAGTGCTTTAAAGCTCTAATCAATATTTGGTATGACATCATTTTTGTCTTTTAAACGGCATCAGTTCTCTCACTTGTCCACATTTTCCTTTCAGGCAGGTTGTTGAAACTTTACGGAGAACTTGCCACAGTTCTTCTGTGGATTTAGGTTTCAGTGTTTGTCTCCTCTCATAACCCCAGACTGACTCCATGATGTTAAGATCAGGGCTCTGGGGGGAAACGCGCTCTGCTGCAGGACTCCTTGTTCTTCTTGTTGCTGAAGATAGTGATATATTCTGGCTTTATGTTTGTTGTTTTGCTGCAGAAGGTGTTTGCTACTGATCAGATGCCTCTCTGTCTAAAAATTTTTTGCATAGCTCTGTGCAGATGTTTATATATAAATGACATCTCATTCATTCATTGGTGGTGATTTTTAAAGATTTCTCTGTAGGAGACGGGATGGACCTGCAGTGACTACAGAGGGTCTCGACTGATGCTGTAAACATGAAGGCCTCTCATTTAAATTCTCCTACACGTGCACATAAAGTTGCAGCGAGCTAAACTTTCGTGAGTGCATTAGCAAACAAAAAAGGAACCACATGTTGCTCACAATTAATTCAATGCCAGGGTAGCCTTAAAAACGAGCACGAACTCGGTGTGAACGAAGCAGCGAGGCGATCACTCCTGTGTCTGAACGCAGACTTAATGACCTGTTAAGAAACTTGGCAAGAGAAGGAGTAATTTGAACTCCACGCTGCTTATTAGTTTAGCTTTTACGCAAAACAAGCAGATGTTTTACGATGTAATATGATTTATTACTGAAGTAATTGATCATCATTAGAAATATTCGTTGGGAATTTGTTATTTTTTCATCTGTTTATCTGGGAAATATTTCAGCTAATAGAAACGAATAAAATAAATGCGTCTGCCAAAATAAAATTATAATTTAGTTGAGGTTTTTTTTTCTTTTTTAGATGCGCTCTGCTTGAAGGGATCCAGACAGGAATGCTGTTTCTTAAGATCTGAGCTCAAATTTATGGCTGACACCTTTATAGCTTTACCAACTTGGCATTTCTATAGTATTTCGTTATTTTTCTAACGATGCACAGCGCTGTATGTCAGGACCTGCTGGCGTTTCTGGCGTTGGCAAGTTTGCACATGACAGCCGCAGCATCAGTTATAAAAAGTGACTCCACCCAGAGCCTGACACATTTAACAGCATCACATCTGTCCGCAGGAGCCGACAACATCAAGAAATACTGGAGCCGCTACTACCAGGGGTCACAGGGTGTAGTCTTCGTACTGGATAGCGCGTCATCGGACGAGGACCTCGAAGCGGCGCGTAATGAGCTCCACTCTGCCCTGCAGCACCCACAGCTCTGCACACTGCCTTTCCTCATCCTTGCCAATCACCAGGACAAGCCTGCTGCGAGGACGCCAAACCAGGTAAACTGGTCTGTTTACGGCGCCGTTAATAATGCATCCCGTGATTGTCTTTCACATACAAACGCTGCCCTTTCCACAGATTTATAAAACATTAAATGCCTGTCTTGAGCGGGGAAAAAAAACCCAACATAATTTTGCATAATTCATGGCACGCATTCTGCCTGTAAATACTATGTACACTCATACATATGAATGGGTCTTTTCAGTGTCGCACTAATACGTCTATTTGTACACAACAGGCCCATTATGACAGACTCACAATTAACAGTGTGCAACATAATGACTCTAATGTTGTCAGTGTCATTTTTAAAAATCGGAGCATCTTGTAAAACCCCTACTTTTTAGCGGAGGTGGAGTGAAAGCATTTGCATGTCGCCGTCGACCAAGGAGCCGAGACAACAAGGTTGGGTCTTCCAAAGCATCATAAGACCTCTGTAGTCTGCTGTGTTGTGTTGAGAGAAGCCTCATCTGGAATAGCAGCGTCTTCTCTGGCAGCCAAGCCTTGACCAAGATATCGCAGATAAAGTCTCCTCACAGTACCAGAATGTAGTGCAGAGCCAACGCCATGTGGGTCCTCTAAGGTTTAGTGTAGGGGTGTAGTACATTTTGAAGTTGGGGCCAGGTGAAGGTGGAGACGATGTTCTGCTGTACTGCAAAGGAAGGAGGCATTTTAGGTGTTGTGGACAGAGCTGGGACTAGTATGAAGTGGAAGTATCCTTTCTAGGGTTTAAGAGACGGCGCTGTCTTCAAGAAGACGTGGTTAACAACGGAGAGGCCATACGGACAATGATCGAGCAGAATGACTCGTCTTATGTTAATCTTAGGGTTTGTTATTTGACTTTGCGTTTGTCTAGTAATGGGTGACTTGTAATGAACACAGAAGCTGAGCAGTGGGTTTGAAATGTTGTCGTCTGATCAACATCTTGTGATTATAATGGATTGTGTGTCCCGGCACCCAAACATTTAAGGACAGAATAAAGAGGCTGAACATCCAGAAAGTTGCTCGGAGGACATGTTTGTCCTTGAACTTACAAAGGAGTCAGTTGAGTTGGTTTGAGGACGACTCCTTGTGTCAGTAGAGTCCAGGGCAGTCTCACGTGAAACCCACAAAACCCCTCAAGATCTGTATGAGGTTGAGGGAAGTGGACCAGAAGTCATATATACATGATGCATATCTCAGTTTTTGTGTGCTAATGTTTCAGTTGTAAGTCGGAGCCACATGTTTGCTGTCACAAGCCCTTTTTTTTTTTATTTAAACAGGACATGATCAGCACCACCATTGTGCATATTTTGTTGTGAAATACATAAAATGAGTGTTCTCAGGTATGTTGGTCTAATAATAACCATTTCACTGGGTGTTTAAACTGTTTTCACTTCATCTTTGAGCATCCGTTTTGTACCTTAAGTGCACATGGACAAGCAAAATCGAAACTGGTAGCTCCACGAGGATTTGCAATCAGCGGCTCACCTTTAACCCATTCAGTGTCCACAGGTGTGTTGGTCTTGCAGCACTTTTTTCATGTTTTATTTCCCCATATCAACAAACTTTGCTCACTGTTTCCACAAATGTAATATTAAAATAAATAGAAGATAAAACATCTTGAAACTTAAAGATGCTATTTATTGTTGTCTCTAAATGTCGTAGGAGAACCTATGAGACGGTGAGGTCATGTTTGCATGAAGATGGAACGGGAAAATAGAGACATGCTCGTCTGGCAAATGTGAGAGAGAAGAGAACTGCACTGGCAAGAAGCAGTTATCACAACATCAAACTGTTCTGATCGAAACTGTCTCATCCTGTAGCCTGTCTGCAAATATATCAACAGTTGATATCCCACCTGACCTTAGCTGTGGGTAGAAAGACGTCTGGACTGATGCCACCGTGGTCTGAATCCATCTGTAGGCCAGTCCAAAGCATTCTGTCATCAGCTATCGCGGCTCGACTTCATGTCTTAATTTGTTTTCCTGAAACAGCTACTGTATATAAGTTTGCAAATGATCATTCAGCATGGTCCGGCCATAAAATGCGGACATGTGCTTCCAAGATGCTGGCTTCTTTTTTTACATTTAGTTTTTTTTTTTTTATCCTTGTTGGTAAATGGTCCCTGAAACGGCTTTTGGCCTCTGAGACAGATTCCATAAACCTTCCAGTTTGTCTCTGTATGTTTTTTCACCTCATTGAAGGCACGTTATTTACTGATTTGGCTTCAATACGTAATTCTTATCTAAGTGCCTTGTAATTTCTTCCAGTAAATTCGAATTCGGCACAGGTAATTCAAGTCTTACTCCAGTCTCATGCATACTTTTTGAATGACTGGTCTGAAGGGCTGCAGGCTCCATATTTGGCTGCATATAGACCACATAGGAAGCATCATACTTTGGACTGATCAGCTTACAAGCACTGGCAAACCCCATTACCACAGTTTGGTTGTCTCAAATAGAGTTTCCATCAAAAGAATGGCTGCAGGAAATATCATAGTGGATAGTAGGTCATGTCACCACCTCCCCTCAGGACAAAACGAGGGTATTCTGACCCACCTTCCCGTTCTCTAGCCCTGCTCTACCTCCCCACCTCCTCACACAGGGAGCCTCCTGGAGTGGGATGTTATGGCTAACGTTCCCTATGCAGTGCTCGCTCATGTTTCAAAAAACCTGGAACCTCATTTTCCTGCACAAACTCACACACGCCAACGTATCGACACGCACATGAATCATCTGCATGGGCCTATTTAATGTTTCTGAAGGACAACAAAGATGGACACCTGGAGAGAGGAGCATCTGTATTTTGTGGCCCAGACCACCGCCGTTGCCGCTCCGCCGCGATGCGAGCTGTGCGTTGGGAAATGAACGGGAGAAAAGTTCTATACCAGATCCTGTTGTGACCCAACGTGACTCCAAGTGATGCAAAACCTTTCACTCCACTTGAATCTGTTTAGTTTAACTAATGAGTATGGATTGGATGAACTTGTAGTCACGAAAACGCAGTAATTTTATTGATGTTTTAAATGGCGGCTGCTTGCCTTAAGCCCTTTAAACACCGGCCTCTTTGTTGGTCCCCGTAACGAACCCACTTATTCCAGCCGGTGACCGGCCCGCGCTCGGCCAGCGGTCTTAGCGTGACGCGTCCTCTGCCGTGTTTGACCCGCCATCGTATCGGTCTGTGGAAGTATTGACTTTGCTGAACTGTTTACAAACACTGATGACACGTGAGACTGGCTTATAGGGACGGAGGGACGAGACGGATGTCGCCCAAAGGCACGTTTTCCATCCTGTTCGAGGGCCATCTCAGTTCACCATGAGTGACTTACATAAAGGGAGCTGTTGAGAGTGGCTGAGGAGCCTGATGGATATGAATGCAGCTGTAATACTCTGTCTACCATCAGGTAAACATAACCGGGTTTCTGGACTTCATTGGCTGATGTTTTGTTTGCTGTATATGAAGATTTTCCTTCAGGATGAGTAAAGTTTTTATTAGATCTTATATTTGGCTGCACTGTCACGCTCTTTCTGCCTCAGTCAAGGAATCCATGTATGCAGATTACAGTTACTTCTTTACTTTGATTTATTGTGATAGGGATCATATTACAAAAAATACTCCATTTTTAACATCATATTCAATATGTTTCTGACAAGTTGGTGTTGACATATGGCTTAGAATGTGTTGTCAGTAGTGATAAATAACTGAATTGGTAGGATCTCTAGGGTGCCACAATCACAGCGCTAAGAGCTGTTTTATATGTTTGGGTGGCTTTCTATTGTGTTTAAATTCTCTGTAACCTGTTTGCTAGTTTGAATTTACATGCTCATTATGAGTGTCACCATGCCTGTGTGCGCATATCATCATCTGACTCATGGTTTGTCACTGAAGGAACTTAATGTCCAGTGACTCACGCATAATCTTTGCTAAACTGAAACGAAAATTTAAACCAACTGTGAAAGAAAAAGTTGCCTCCACCTCTCCTCTTACACTGAGTTCCTTTGTCTCTGTGCTGTATACGAGGCCCAGGAATGACGTACTGACCCATGCTGGCTCATTATGGACGGTCTAACGTCAGGTGATATCATGCGTCACATAAAAGATGGAAAAAACGGAAAAGACTGTTAGTCCTGCCTCTCTACTAGAGAGCAAACTTTCTCCTCTATATGTTAGCAGTCAGTTGCTTTACATCCACAGAGGTGGAAGCTTATTTTTCAGTTTATCTGAGGTTCCATTGCTACTGGTTTTAGTTAGAGATTTATCTTAGTTATGGGACTTTACATCTTTGAAGTACAGTCGTGACTCAATAATCCGACACTAAATGTAAAACCTTCTTTTAGGTCGGATAGCAAGGCTGTCGGATTGTCAAGACGGAGGTCCAGATACAAGGAGGGCTTGATGCTGGAAGGCTCATTAGTTGTTCATTATTGTTCATAGTTGTTATAATAACTAGTGTATTGTTAGAACACAACGCATTGCTGGATTTCAGCCTGACTGACTGGTGCACTTGTGTATGTTCCGCTGCTGATGCTAGTTTAGTTAGCGCTCACACTTCTGTTTCCTCCATCGGTGGCGGCGGGGGAGTGGCAGATACGCTCCACCGTTACCATCCATGTTTACTTCCATAAACACTGAGCACGCTCGCTGCGTGTGACGTCGTCGTGTCCTCTTCTGCGCATGCGGGACACTTTTGGCTCGTATGAAGTTCACACAGCAGATCACATACAAGTCGCATTGAACTGGAAACGTGAAGGAAGTCACAAAGAAATCCTCATTGAGCATCAAGTCCTGCAGTGTGAACGTAGCCAATCTGTGGGATTGTTCAGTCAGATAATACGCCGTCATCCTGATTGGTGACATTAAATGTCATGTCGGAGTCAGAATCCAAGGCTGTCGCTATGTTAAGGCTGTTTTTATGGGTTTAATGGATTTCTAAATTTCTGTGCCACTTGTTGCAGATCACCCCAAAGTTGTGCATCAGAAAGTTTTGTTTTTTCGGGCTCAGCAAGTAAATTTCTCTCAA